ACAGTAATGTTAGACGCTGTTAGCTAGTTAGCTCGTGCAGCTGACATAGCCCCTTTTTAATGGGGTTATATGTCTATATATAATACCTCTAGTGGGTCTAGAAAACAAACAATTGTCATTATTCATGAAGAAGCTGAAGAGGTAATGGTAAGTAAAGTAGATTTTGTTACTTTTTGGCAGAGCCAGTCTAGCTGTTTCCCAATGTGTCCATTCTTTGTGCTAAGCTAAGCTAATGTTGTTCTGGTTGTGGTTTCATATGTAACAGAGAGACGGAGTGGAACTGGCGTCGTCATCTAACTCTTGGCAAGAAAAGAAAATAATTAGTATTTCCCACAATGTTGAACATCCCTTTAAACGACAGTGCTCATATCTTGAAACATACTGTATTTGATAAACACAATATCTATTTTTTAAATGGAAAAACTACCTTAAGAGAACTGTAATTTTGTTTTGACACTTCGTGTAAGTTCCAGAACTTACACCTACTCTGTACACTTTAGTGACTTTTGCTCAATGCACACTGTGACGATAGGATGGTTTCCTCATCACCCAGAAAAGTAATAAGTGGTTAGTCACTGGATGGAGGGATGGATGGGTTGTTGAACTACATTAAAGTAAAAACCATCCTGACCAGTGCTCTCCAACCCTTTTTCTGAGCCAGCAGTCAGAACGCTGCTGGTGTTTGTTCTGACCATGTACCATCAGTGACTATTTTACACCAGGGATGCAAAACAGATTCAATTACATCCATTTAACTAAGACCAGCAGGCACCAGTGGAGAAAGTCACAAGCCATCTCAAGGTGAAGGACTGAATAAAAAGTATGCTTCATATTCTGTACAGTTCTTCCATTCATTCCTTCTACATTCCTGTAATCAAGAGAAGAATGTTATCTGAAATGCAAAAGGAATTAGAAATATGTGGGTCCGTCCGTCCCTTGCATATCAACCACATGACTGCGTGACGCTGGAGGGAAGATGGACACTCTGGCAAAATCCCCGGAGGCCTTCCCCTTTGATGGTCGGCACCATGGAAACATACAGTGATTTGTCCATCACTGTGTCCCGGGTGGAAAGCTCATAATTACGACTGCATTGTGATTAGACTGAAGTCGGGATTATAAGACAACAGGCCTCATTCTCACCTTTCTTTCAGCTAATGGAATTGACTCATCCAGCAGAATGAGAACTCAATTGATTTTTTTTTCTTTCTCTTTGTCAGGTATTGAACTGGCAGTCTATGTGAGGATCTACAAGATTGAACAAGAAAGCAAAAGGTGAAAAAAAATGGAGCTTGAAGCTCACAGCTTCCAGCCTTGACAAAATGATTAGGTGGAAGAATACTTCTTTGTAATATGAAAGACACTATCTGCTAGTTGCTACTGACTCACACAGTGGTAAACAGCTTCTGAAGCACACAGAAAGCATTTTATAAAATAAATGTTCATGTGACTGAAACGGGGAACTCATGTGGCCACATTAAAGGTCCAGTGTGTAACATTTAGGAGGATCTATTGGCAGAAATTGAATATAATATTCATAGGTATCACTTCATTTGTGTATAATCCCCTGAAAATATGAATAGTGACCTTAAAATGAACTATCTACAGTGTCCTTTTCTATAGAGTCCACCATGTTGAACTGCCATATTTCTACAGTAGCCCAGAATGGACAAACCAAACACTGGCTGTAGATAGGTCCTTTCATGTTTTTTTTCCCCTTGCTAGTTTCATGCTTGGAAGGTGAGCAGTATTTAGTTGGTTGCACTGTGCAACCTCACCAGTAGATGTCACTAAATGCTGGACCTTTAAAGGTGCTGTAATCGGCCATTCGGGGCAGCATATCAGGAGAAACGTAAGCTAAAGTAACCACAAACTGCCATTAACTACTAAACTCAGTTAGCCATGCAGCTAGTGGTTCTATTAGTTTACTCTGCCCGGACTGGGACCTCTGGGGGAGAACTGGGGGAGTGCTAGTGGCACAGCAGCTTTGGACCACCAGGGAGAGGAGGATTTTTGGGTCCAGGGCTAGGAGAACCCAGGGGGAGAATGCTGGCAGGGAAAGCGCAGGAATGGGCACTAGAATCAAGGCTAGACGAGTGGGCAGTGGAACAGGGGCTCAGGAGTCAGGTGGTGGGGTTGTGAGGTCTCACATTTACAGCAGCTCCAACCAGAACTGTGACTCCAGGAACGGCAAAAACACGGCAGGTTCAGGCAGGCACAGGAGAGGCATGAAGCAAGAGAGGAGCGGAAGGGAGGACAGGCATCAGTCAGTGCCCACCTCTAGAGGCTTGAACTTCAAAACTGTTATTTCCTCACATTCTGTTCAGAATTGTAGTAAAATTTTAAATGTTTTAAACAAAAATTCTTATATATAGCTTTAAGTCAATAAATAAGGCAGCAGACAAAATTTTGTATTCCAACACTCGACTGATAAACAGTATTTTGAAAAATGAGGGGGATTATGTAAACCCTTTGTACAGCTTAACGCCATCTGAAATATTCTGCCTCTGCAACCAAATCCTAAAATGCTTCTCCTCTTTTACAGTAAAAAAAGGAAAGGGAGTTTTTGTAAGCTGCAGCAATGTTTGTTTACTTATTTCCAGTCTTGTATAGACCCTTACAACAGCACAGCAAACCCAGTAGCGATAAAGCCGTGGCTGTGTTAGAGAAAATGAAAAAGACATGTTCAAGGTCACAGATGTTTAATTGCAATGATGTTATCTCTAATTAAACCAAACCGTCCTTGCCAAGCCACCATTAACAACATAATGCTGCAGTATACCATAGGCAGGCTTGGAAATCTCTGCAGGGGTTATGAGCCTTCAGCTTGCAAGAATAACATAAGTGCTTATCTGCAAAAACAGATATCTCTGTTTTGATTTATTTTTCCAAATCATGTTTTTTTTGTGCACTCCAGGAAATATCAGTCCAATTGGAGTTGGTTTATTTGTTTAAAAATGTTTTTTATCTGTTTTTGCAAATTAACTATGGTCACACAAATGTACATATGTTTCTGTCAAATTAACGCCAAATTAAAGGGGTTTGAGGGTGTTGATCAATACCAAAAGAAATTACCCAACACCACTGAGGATTTGCTGGATTTAAAGCTAATGTGATCTGAATTAATGGGGAGAGATTTAAGGAATTATACCTGGTTAAGACTTTAATTTGTGCAAGGGGAAGCAAAGTAATATGTTACGATTTAGTTATGCGTCACTGAGGTTTGACATACTCACGTTTATGTAAACTGATTTATCTGAAAAGAAATAAAGGCTTCTTTTTCCGATCAATCAGTTTACATAAACTACCCTTAAAGACACAATTCAAAGGGGAATTGCAGCTATTTAGTATTGCCCCCCCATAAGTGTGGACGAGTGACAACAGGCAAATAAAAAAGAAGAATGGTCTAGGCAGAGATATCCTAAAAAACTGGCCACCAGGTGTACAATCATTGGAGTGCTCCTTTAATGTGTCACAAGATAAGATACCTTGTGTAGGTGAACACAAGACAGGTAAAAGTGGGAACTAGTCAGGGCCACTCTACAACTTTAATTCCCATCTTCAGGATGTGATGTTTCTGCAGAATTTTAATAAATAGATTTTCAGGTTCAGTAGGTTTGAAAATGCCACAAACACGTCACAATTCAGCTGTGTTCGCAGTTATTAAGGCCCATTCCACCGAATCTGTGCCTTTTCCATTCCTAGGACAATACATGCATAAATATTCATGAAACCTATCTATATAATAGATTATTATTATTATTGATTATTATTATTAAGTGGGTTACACTTTGGTTTAATTGCAATTTGAAGATACATCATATAAAACCTTAATAAAAGCTACCTAAAACTTCACCATGAAATATAATTTAAATTTAATCCTTCAGAAATGATTTTATTTTGTATTATTGTGTGGCTCTATTTGAAATTTAGACTTAAAATGCATTTTCTCATTGGAAATTCATAACATGTTAGTTAAAATACACATTTTAGTTGTGTCCCAAGGTTTTCACTCAGTCCTATTATCCTGACACATTCCTCCAGTATACAGTATAAATATATTTAATATTTCCTCCTTTTTTAAAGAAGTGTCTCTTGTTATTTCCTATTTATTTTATTTTATTATGTCTTTCCGTTTATCAAGGAAAACATTAAGTGCGTTTTAGTTACTTAATGTTGAAAAAGCCACCAGCGAACTATGTCATTTCCACCCACTGAAAGCTATCCTATCCACTACAACTGGAACATTTATCATTCTAATTGGTAGGTGCATTTAAAGTCAGTGAACAGAAAACAGTAAGCAACTGGAACAAAATGAAGCAGAGGGGTAGCCACTATATATGGGGAATCACAGACTGTCACTTTAAATGTGAATTCAAATGTCAACATAGTCCTCAAAACAACAATCTAAATGTGTGAATATTCATAAATATCATAGAACTGTGGGAAATGCACTTGAATAAATGTCTGTTGAAGGGCTCTCATATGGCCCCACACTATGTCTGTACCATGGTTACACCCTTGCATCCCCCTTCACATGATCAACAAGAATGATTTGAGTCTGCTGAAGGCCATGGGAAGACCAAAAGTCGGACCAAGGACGTCTCAACATTCAGTCCTAAATTACTTCTTAGATGTCATTATGTTTTCTTACAGCAGGCTATAGTTTTGGTAAACCATAGGGAAGATGCAAAGTGATCTCATGCTATTATCTTTGATACCATGTGGTTGCATTTTACTAAAGAAGATGCAAAAAAACTCTTCATCATCCCTCTTTCAGCCCTGGTACGAAAAATGCTTCAATTTGAAAACTAAATAAAAACATAAAAAATAAAATAAAAATGTAATAGTTAAAATTACAACATGCAAATGGCACCGACTCGGCTCCTGACTGCATTTGCACCTAAACACCTTAATAACTCAATTCTCTCGTCGTGGTTTCACATATTACTCAGAATTTGTGGTGCTGATGCTGCACCCTCTCCTACCGCGCCTTCTCCCTCTCCTCTCCTTCTCACCCCCCCTCCTCCTTTTGGCAGCAGCACTCTCATATTATTGGTGTACTGGCTGCTGGTGTATTCCGTATTTACTCTCAGGAAGACCCCTCCCTCAGCGACATGCAACCCGACCTGCAGGTGAACAGTTCAGCCGCAGCTTCCCTGTTTCCTCCTCACACTCCGGCTGGAACACTTGCGGAGGGCAAACGATGCGCTTCGCTCCAAAAAAAGAGCCAAGTTGCCTGTAGGATTTTAGGATTCACATACGGGACGCGGACCCGAATCGCGTCCGGAGAGCGCGTCTGGAGGTGAATGCGAAGGCAGACGAGGTGATGGTCTGAACTGGCAGCAGTGTGGGCGTAAAGGTGAGCCGTCGGCTGGGTTTGTTCTGTTTTTTTGTTTTGCTTTCATAAAAGTGGTGAAATCCTGGTTGTTCTCTGTCTTCTGAGCCAGACAATGTGCGGGGAGAGAACAGGAGAGGGGCAAAGTAGACTAATATAGAAGAGTTCATCTTTCACCCACAACCAGTTTACATTGCGCACTTGTGTACTTACATGAGTGCTGTGCCTTTTAGCTTTTATTTCCATGTTCCCACATCTGTAAACTTCACTGTGGTTGCGACTGACAGTTATTCTCAGTATTTGCTTATTACCGCCTCGATTAATCCATTAACTGCTCGGGCTACAAAGACCTATAGTGAAAGTCCAACACGACCTCTTTTAAAAGTCAGGTTATGTCCGAGCAGCAGTCCAAAACCCAAGTTTACAATTATATAAAAGAGAGAAGAGCAGCCCATCCTCACATTCAAGCAGCTGCAGCTACAGAATTAGTGGTATTCTTGTTTTAGAAATTACTTAAATGATGAATCAATTATCAAAAGAGTTTCTAATTAATGTTCTGTTGATCAATCAGCCAATTGTTACAGTTCTTTTGCCCCACTGTTTTCCTTTCATGTGCTTGTTTACTATTAATCTGCTTACAGCACACACATAAAATAATCATTATGAGATCAGTTTGATGGGAAAAACAGCTGCTTATGGAGATTTTGAATAATAGAGTCGTGCAATTTAACTATACTATAAATATAGTTTTTATTTTTGTATAATATTCTTGCTGTAACATATTGAGTACTACAATACACTGCAGTGCTATAATTTTAGTCAGAGAGTTAAACACAGGTGATAGATATAAAAGAACATGCAGCAAATGTTAGAATTGAGTAAAGGTGTTAAATAGAAAATTGTAAAACAGCAAACAGTAAAAAGTTAGGTGTAAAAACAAGAAGTCATCAGCTTGCATTGTATTGGTGGGAAATATGGGGGAGGAGTATGGATTACTAACATGTATGGATCAAGTTACACTTGTTCCAGTAGTTACTAACAGTTGTCGGGTGCAGATGATGCCAGCAGCCATCACTGCTGTATTTGAATGTGGATTACAATTTATTTTTAGAGTTACATGCATGTAATGCCTTATTACATGTTCTTGCTGTTTATCTTTCTTTGCCCATGGTTCATAGGCAACTGTTTAGTGCTGGTAGTGCAAGTAGATTATTACTACTGTAAAACTAGAATAAAAAATAAGGAGATTCATTTCTCTCTCTCTTCTTTCCTCTCTGTCTGTGTCTCTCCTCAGTGTCATATTAGCCATCCACTATCAGAGGCTTGTAAACCTGACATGTGTACACCCAGTGAGAAAGTAACCTGAGATCCCATCCTGAGGGAGTACCAGGATGTGTCCCACTGCATCAAAGCTTTTGGGCAAGATCAACGTTGGAGGCAGCTGTTGCAACCCTGTCGCTGCAGCCTTGCTGCTCTCCCTGTGTCTTGGCTTCCCTCGCTCTGTGGCCACTTGCCCACCCTACTGTCTTTGTACCAGTGATATAATTTCATGCAGCGGCCGCAATCTGTCCGTGCTGCCCTTTGATCTCCCAGGCTATGCCACACGGTTGGACCTGAGCCACAATGCCCTCACTGTCCTGCCTGTGGACTGGATTTCCCGACCGTTTGACCGGCTTGCTACACTGGTTCTCAGCCGAAACTCCATAAGCCAAATTGAGGCGAACGCCTTCGCTGTGATGCCGCATCTCCTCCACCTGGACCTCTCTTCCAACCAGCTAACAGTGCTGAACTCATCCATCTTCACTGGGTTGAAGGAACTGAAAGAGCTGCTGCTGTTTGGCAACCAGATCACCCAGATTAACCCAGGGGCCTTCAGTGATCTTCACAGCCTACAGAGGCTCTACCTCTCTGGGAACAAACTGATGGCGTTCCCTCTGGGGCTTTATTGGGAACCTGGATCGCCTCGTAATCTGACCTTTCTCGATCTGTCATACAACAAGCTCTCCGTGGTGCCCGTCCAGAACCTGCTGTCTCTCACCCAGCAAGATGGAATTTATTTGCAGGAAAACCCTTTGGTCTGTGACTGCGCTTTACTCGCCTTGTTGGAGTACTGGATGTGGAAACAGTATCGCCCCCTGGTGGACTTCAGAGATGAATATCCATGTAGAGACGATTCAGGACCAGGGTCTGAATGTAGCCAGCAGGTAGTGTTAGATATGCCCCTTGAGGCACAGACTTACCAAGTAGAGCCTGGTAAATGGCTAAGAGTGCCATGTCCAGGATTTGCTTCTCCAGCCCAAGGGGGGCTGGTGGTGTTCTGGGTTACCCCAAAGACTGTGGTGAATTCATCAACCAATGATCCGGATGACCACATAATAGTTTTCCCCAATGGCACCCTTGAAATCCGATCAGCCGTGATGGAGGATTCTGGTATGTATGGGTGTGTGACAGCACGCAGGCGCCACTATGACCCCAGTGAGTCTCTGGAGGTCAGCATAGTGGTAGGAAACTTAAGCAGTACCTCCACCAGCGGCTTGGCACACCGCAGTGGTGCCGAGCATTTCAACACAGCATTCACCACCCTGGCTTCCTGCGTGGTCAGCATCATACTAGTGCTGCTCTACCTCTACCTCACTCCATGTCGATGCCGGGAAAGCCGGGGCGGGGGAACGAGAGGGTGTGGCGGACGAGCCATCATCCTCTGTTCAGACCCCAGAGAGGTAGAGTCAGGACAGCGGAGGTCAAATGGAAAGAGGGTGGCTTTCTTAGAGCCTCAGACGGAGGACTCTGATATTGGTGTTCCAAAAACACCAGCAATGAACTTGGGTCATGTTACCACTGAGGGAATTCTCAAGAATGGAAGTAGGACAGTGGGACAGGCCCTCATAGACCCTGCTCACGTGGCATAGCAAGAAGATTACCTTTTGCACATTCCTGTATTCTTACAGTCTGAACCCAAGTGTTTTTTTCATTGTCTTGTTTCAGTACATAATGAGAAAATCCATTTAATGTAAAGTAGTGTACTGTGATTCTTGTGAAGTAGGTTTGCGCCGTAGGGTTTGGGTGTTTGGTCTGAAGCTGAAAATGCAGCCCTATCGTGGGCAGAATTTCAATTATGTCTCGACTGTAAGTGGTGTCTGTTTTCTATAAGAGGAGTTCATATGGAAATTTGACTGTTAACGCTGGAAATTGTTACTGCAAAGATCACAAAGATCATATAAATGTGGGTGGTGTTTTAAATTGGGCTCAGAGGAATATGCACACCTGTCTTGATAAGCTGCTAGAGGCATTGATGGTTATTATACAGTATATGCATTGTGAATATTGGCAGTGACCCTTGTTATTTTTAACCATCTGTCTCTGTGCTGTGGAACTTTTTCATGTTTCATTTTCAAAACATGTGTGTCGTGTGTGCAATTATCTAAACTGTTGTTTTGCCAGACCGCTACACACCCTATTCAAATGATGTTAATCAAATATAACCCTGTGGAAGTTCCTGTTTAAAAAGCAAAAAGAAACAATACAAAGTAAGACATAGACTAGCCTAATGTGTTGTTATTAGGTGAAACCTAGAACCTAGAAAATGTTTACTTTGCAGAAATACAGACTGGTGTTTAGTTGGATGAAAATCCATTTGATGAACTCAAATGTGGTGGAATTCTCTTGGAGGGGTGGTCCATCCAGATTGGTTTCCCTTACCCATGTGTATTTGCTTAGGTTTTTCTATATCAATCTGAGATTTCTGTCTCCATCCCAATACAGTGGAGGTGAATTGAATTTTGGTTGTGTTGTTCTTAACACTGAAAATTACATTTAAAGCTGCATTAATCAATGGGTCAAATGACTTGTGCAATGTGAATATAATTACTCAAAGTGATGAACAAACTAAGAATTACAACCCGATTACACTGTTCTCCTCAGCTCTCTGGAGCATTTTAGTGCCTTTCAGCTCATTGTTTTGGCTTAACAGGCCGAAGCTTTACTGTTGTAGCTCATCAACCCTATTTCCAGCCACAGAAGGCAGCTATTCTCAGCAAACAGCACCAATAAACCTACTCTACGCCGCTCGCTCAGCAGCAAATGGCAGACAGAGAAAGATAGCGACTAGCTGGTGAACATAACAACAAAACTAAACTAAAAAAAGAGTAAATACTGGGCCAGAAACATGGCTCCAAATGTATGCTAATGTTGCTCTGTGTCTGCTGAATGTATAAATAGGCAACAGTTTGCCAACATGTACAGCATTTTAACTTAATTAGATGATAATATGTCACTGTTGTTTACAGCTTGTTTCACTGCCCCAAGTGACTAAAAAAATCTATTAATACTGTCTTAAAATAATTAGCATTCAAATTATGCAATGTCAGGCCAAACGCATAATCCACAGACCTCACTGAGCAGTTTTCTTTGAAACTTCTGTCTAGTGAAGTAAATTGTCCTTTCAAAAACTGTTGTCTTGTGGATCATCCAGGCCACATACAACCATATCGTCCACAATGCACTGTGCTACAATGCTCAGAATCTCACTCACTTGCTTTTAAAAAGTGCAGGAAGATAAACATACTCACTTAAAAGTAACTAGAAATTTGCATTTAAAGGTTATTTTCCAAAAAATAAATCCAGGGTGAGCATGGCCCTGGATGCCCCTACTTTTTCTGGGTTTTCTCTACCCACACAAGTTTGTTACAGAAAGAATAACATCAAAATAAATGTGTTTGACCATAATCAAAATTCCATTGACATTCATTGTATTGGGGTGGAGGCAAATAAAAACCTGTATGGCTACATATAAGACTTTAATCTGACTTCAACCAGCAGATATATATTAAATAACTACCGTTATTTGAGCACTATATAAAAAAAAAATAGTACTATGTTGACACCGTGGAAAAATCAGTCCACAGAGGTGTCAGAGTATAGGTCTAGACCAGCTCACCTGGAGCTGGTTTGGATTGACACTTGGACACATGTCAACCTGATCCCTGTTCATCCTGTGAAAAACGGACTTCTCTGCTACCCCTCCACCTTGTTACACCGACCCACAGCTTTACAAACAGCAGATTCCCGGAGGAATTGATCCTTATCTGTTCAGACAGGAGCGGAGTTTGGGCTCTGCGATGAAGCCTCACTCAGCCCAGATTAGTGTCACAGAAATCAGGAGGTTTGCCGGCTTGCCCCAAGCCCACCGTGACCCACATTCCCCTGTCCTCCCTTTATTTGGTTTTTATAGGTGTGTGGAATAAGTTTCTGTGGCCGTACATGTCCATGCTACCAATGTCAGAATATTAACTTGTTAAAGTTTGCTCTGCTCTATTAGACGCAGGATCATTTTAAGTAGAGCAGTGAAGGTAACTCTTTGTGAGGACTTCAAGGACTGATATTTTTAGGTATGAAATAAAATGTTTCAATTTGGAGGATAAGTGTGTTCTTTTATCCCTGCAAGTGACAACAGTAATACCCATATTTGACTTGTTTAGGATCTATTTTCACCGTGTTTGGCTCCTCTCTGGGGATCTGGTGCAATCTTTTTTGGATCTAAAATGAAAGGAGGCAGTTTGGGTGAAAAATGAAAAGTAGTGTTACATCAGAAGGATTTAAGGATGGCAAATAACCTCTTAGTGAGTCAACAAATCGCATTTTCAAAAATCCTCTTACGAGCCTTTTCTATGGCCAGCTGAAAAAAGCAAAACCCTTTAAAGCCTTCTTGTGCACTTGTTAGTCAGTACTTTTCCAAGGGGAAAGACATTTGATATGAACTTACACTAATTAAAGAGTAGTGTAATGGCAGTGAGGACAAGGAGGCAACAGGCCAATGGCAGGTGTTGAATAGGTTTCAGGTAGTGATGGATCCCATTGGGACTAATTTAAGCGTCCCTCGCCGTTCGCTGTGACAGGGTGCTTTTCACAGGTCAAGACAGTGACATTTGGAGAGTGTTGCAGGTGTTGTCAGTCCAGTAGAGAAAACTAGCAACTCTTTTCCCCATTCCAGTTAGCAGCTTGCTTGTTAGTCACTCCACTGAATAATATTTGAATGATAATGACTGCAACAATTTATAGTAGAAATAGCACATAATAACTGTAGCCTCATTTAATATCTTCCCTTTATTTATTATTGGTTTTAAAGTGGCACTCCACAGCTATTACACACAATGATTACCAATTATCTCAGGCTAGGTTTAAATACAAAATATTTATAAAAACACATAAATGTGAAAGCATGTGTAAGGTGTAAATACAACACATTTATGGCAGAAAGCCTGCGTTCCAAACTGAGGGTGTGGAGTTTGGGCATTTAACAGGGAGAGTCTGAGGGTTGGGTTGTGCTCAAACAGAACTAGTTTATACGCATGGGAGTTTGATTTGTTTTTTGTTAGGCCGGAAGGAAAAAATTGGCTTTGCTTATTTGAATTTAGATCTATTTTTGAGTTTGGGGACTAAAAGTCAGGATATCTGATTATATTTTATATGCCTAACTCAGTGCCCTAACTTTATGGATGTGCAGTATTAAATTGATGCAGTGACCCTTTAATTAAATGTTTGCACATTTATGTGGCCTGTGATACTCAATACACAAGACCCAGAATAAACTGGAGCCAAAGACTGCTGAACCAGTATATAGATTTTATTTACAATGTATGAAATATAAGATTTGTCTCCATTCAATTAAGTGGCTGCAAGGGAGTTTTCTAGAAGAGCTGAATGCAGTACATAATAAAAGGAGGGATGGAGTAAATTGTACAGTTAATACATAAATCAAATCAGACATTAAATGAGCAAGCAAAAAAAAGAAAACAATAGTGGTTCTAGACTACACCATCATGGAGGCTAGTGTGGGGTTTAACAATGAAAGAGGAAATTGCCACAAAATATGGAGGCAAATTATGAATAAACCAACACTACAAATCAACACTCAAATGAACCTGCTCACAGCAAGCTACGGTGACTCAAAACAACACAATAAAGCACACACACAAGACAGCTACTCTACCACTCAGTCCCCCCTTTAACATCAGAAAACCCCTCAAGAAAAATAAAACAGAAAAAGGTGCAGTAGATAGACTGACTAAAATCTTTCTTAAGATTCCTTTGTTTAAAGTAGTTCCCTCCCCCTGTTGGAGGCATGCAGGTGACTGGAATCTATATTTATAAAGGAGCATGTTAATATTGTATTAAGGGGATAACATCTTTGTGCTGCTTGAGCATACCTTGTTTCTTGGCTGTGCCCAAACAGTCACTCTAATTTTAGTCCCTCACCAAAAGTAAAACATTTCTAACAATAATCTTTAAAAATCTTTAATTTGATTCTATGAGCTGGAAGAAATATTTTAAGGTTCTACAGTTTCACCATCAAAATCATGCTTTTAAACATATTTTAAAAAAAGGGAGCCTACCAAATGAGACACCAAACAAAAGTTGGCCTCAGCTGCTCTCTCAGGTGGATCTCAGTGCAGGAAGAAAAGCCCAGGTGAGCAGCCCGTCCTTTTCCCCGGGTCCTAGTGCTAGATGTTTAGTTACATTCAATTACAATTATATGTATGTACAGTATGTATATATGTATGTATTTACTGTATATATGTGTTCATGTATCGGTCTGTATATGAATATTTAGGTATGTATCTGCATATATGTACTCAGTGTATATGTATCTTATTCTGTTGTATTCTTTAATGTCTCTTGAAGAAAAACTCCTCTCTAAAGTATTATTTCTTTTGCACTGTACACATAATCACTTGTTGGAATAATATGTTATTACAGGTGATTTTTCCAGTTCTACACATATTGTGGGCAAAACTTGCTTTTGCTGCTTACAACTGTCTTGTAAGCACCTCCTTGGAGTTGAAAGGTTAGTTAACCAGAATTAAAGGTCCAGTGTGTAACATTTAGGAATTTAGGAAATATTGCATGTTTCTTACTTTAGCATCTACAGAGGGAGCAGGTCGACTTCTGTGGAGTTCATTTTGGTCTTCTCCGTGGATATTTTGCTTTTGGTCTTGTCCCTGGGTACTTCTTTCCTGGTTGTTTTTTCTGTCCTCTCTTTATATAGAGCGTATATATTGTTCACTGACATCCCCAACGGTGGGAGCAGTCAAAAAAGCAAAACATAGGCTGACCGGCTCTCCTCTAACCTTGATGGTCAAAGGTTCAAACTGTTAAGGCTCAGGATCTCTGTGATCTGCCGGCTCATTGCCATCGGAGGGTAAGGACTCTGTAGGAGAAAGATCCTCTGCCTTTTATGATTATTCCACAGCCATAAGTTGTTGCTGTCCGTGGCAGATGAGATAATGATGGTCAATATGTCTATCTGTCTCTGTCCCTATTTGTTTATTGTTGGTAATGACTTTTAGCCCTGTGTTAGCATTAGCGTGACCTGGTGCACATAGATACAGTCCATGTTATGCATCTTATTATTGCTAAATATCATATGTAGTTTTGTTATATTCAGTCATTATAAATGTTCTTGTATTCGTTTCTGTAATTATGTAACAGCATACTGTAGTGGTGGTCGCTCTGTTTCTTTGCACTAGTAGGTATAATAATAGAGTAGCAGGAGTATTAGTATTATTATGAGTTTCTAGCGTTCTAGTTTAGTTTTTATTATATAAGTTACAAAATTCTCCTGAAACCTGCAAAATTTCAATAGTCGGACGCCACAGAGGCGTTTAATCTTCTCTGTGCCCAATATAAATGTGGTAATTTCCTGACTATCCATAATTCAAATGCTGGAGGAGTGTAATGGATGTGTGGGTTGCAGTTGAAATAGGAACCTTAATGTGAACACATTCAAGACAATGGGACCATTTAGCAAATTGTTTAATTATCATGATTTTATTAATGTTGGCCTCTTAACGGTGCTGACGATCCTCTGCGTTCTGACATCTGGATCTAAAGCTTTATAATGTGAAAAGACATTAAAGTTTTACTGTGATCTTCACAAAATACTGGGGATCGAGCCCCCTGTAGACCCGCTCTTTCAAAAGCAAACGTTACTCATGATAATTAATACCTTTCATTCACCTTCAGTCTGCATGAATTTGATCGAAGCTTGTGTAATTTTTCATTAGCTCTTTTTGGAACCAAAAGTCAAATTGCAGCACGTACAGTAAAAATGATGTAAAATCTTGTCAAATATTCTTACTACATGAATGAAAAATTAATGCCATTTGATGGATACTTCCTCACATTTGGAGCATGTGCAACCCCAGTGGGAGTTTATCCTCTAATGCTCGCAGCACTTGTGCCACACCTTATACATGCTCTACACTGTAACCATTTCCAGAGAGTAATGCTGGTGACATGCATAGAACAATAACCATAAAAAATGCACAACTGCATATTTGCATTTGTTTAATTTTTTATAACAAATATGAAGAAATATTGACACAGTAAAATATTTAACAGCTAAATAATGGAAACAGGATTATGAGAGGTAAAATGTGTGTCAGACCTACAGTTTCTTATGAGCGTCATGCTCTGCAGAGCTTGTACCATACAATATATTACAAAGGAAAAGGGATAACAGACAGAAAATCCATTGCCTGCGGGATAAAAACAACATATCAAACACACGTTTCTGTAATAACTGTGAAAGGCTTGATGATGAATTTGCTGCATCAATAAGGTAGGGAACATGTTTCAGGCTTACAGTGCGAAAGTTTATTAAATCCTGCAGGGTTTTGCCCTGTATTCAAAATGTAATTTCTTTGTAAGGTCTCACTTCCATCAGAAGTTCTCCTTTAACCCTTGCAGGTCAAAAATAGTCTGTTTTTATTCCCCTCAAGATTTAGTAGAGGAATGTTTTCCATATTATATTCTACATATTCATCAAAACAGTCACATTCACATACTTATTAGCTTAATAACATTACTATACAGTAGTTGTTGTGGGTGTGGTGTCATAATAAAAAAAAAAAAAAAAAATGGATTGTCTCTGCTACTTAAGGGGCCTGTATAGCCCAGGTTAGGGGGAGCTGTGGTGTTTCCAGGAACGACAATCGAACATTCACATCCACTTCATGCCATGACTGGCTAGCTTTTTATGGATGTATTCCAGAAAAAACAGGAGAAACTGACAATCATCACAATTACAACAATTATCCTGTCTCCCCCCTCTCTACGACAGCTGGCTTCTCACCTGTTCGGAATGACAATAAACAAATCTGACTTCTAACGAGGTCGGATGACATGTTGTATGAACTAGAATAATCTGGCCCTTAGCCTTGTAGCTAAGTAATTCAGTTCAGTTCAGTTGTATTTGTATAGTACCAAATCATAACAAAAGTAATCTCAGGACACTGAGAAAGAGCAGGTCTAAATCGCAGAACCAACAGTTCCCACCATGAGCAGGCACTTGGCGACAGCAGCAAGGAAACACTTCCTTTTAAGAGGCAGAAACCTCCAGCAGACCCCGGCTCTA